GAAATAAAAGTAATTAAAAGGAAAGGAAAAAGCTAATATGACAAGCAATGCATGTATCTGAGAAATTTTGAAGTTTTCAATCATAGACCAACAAAAACATAACCATTAACAGGCCTCACAAATATAATCATTAAATGTTTAAAAGAGAAATAAAAAAGATAGATAAATACAATAATTGATATTATCTAAAAGCAATATGCTTGAAAGATGATTATAAAAGATGACATTTTATGCTTTAATTGAGAAGCATACATAAAATTATCATAGAAATGAGTTTTAAAAAAAAGGAAAATTAAAAAGAAGGAAGAATTTTTCAAAAAAAAAAAAAAAATCAAACATCAAACTTAAAATTTTACATTTTTTAATAATGATTAATTTTTTTTCAATAATGAAAAAAAAATAACATAATATTGATAATATTCATCGTAATATCATCATGCGTTAACTTAATAAATAAACAGTGAAAAATGAATGAATGGAAAAAAACCATTTTCATGTATTCTTCTCAAAAATATAAATGATTATCTTATTATTATTAGCAGGCAAAAATTTTTGAAAAGAAAAATCAAGTATGAAATTTAAAATTTCAAAATGAAAACTAATTAATGAGATTTTTAAATTAAGAATGAATGGAAAAAGCGGAGAGAAGGGATTGAAATATATGAGTTAAATATTAATAAACAACTTGTTAATATAAATATTTTTCGATTTCTTTCTTTTGTGAAAATTTTCATTTGAATAGAAAAAGAAGAGGGTATTTTCTCCTCTCTTGGTTAATTTTTGAAAACTATAATAAAAGTCTCTGTGTTAAATTACATGAAAATGATTTAGCTTGACGTTCTTCTTTTGAAAAATGCTCATTTCTATTTCATTTTTTTTTTAAAATTACTGCTATTACAGCAATTCTATATATCTCATTATCAAACTTAATCATATGAAGTTTTTTATTCCAGTGAAATAAATGTAAGTTATATTTTTAGTTGAAAAAATATTCTCATATTGTAAACAAAGTTTTTACTTGATGTATTAAATTACGGTACTTGTCGGATAGAAGAAATATTAGATGATGAAAAATGAAAATGAATTTGTAGCATATTAATCGAAAGATTAATGATGCATAATAATAATAATTTTATTGATTATTTGAAATTTTTATTTGAAGTAATATTTGATGTAAGCATAAATCCCTCTGTAAATCTAAAATAAACTATCTAACTCTGCGTTATTATTTTAAATATCTCTTGATAATGAAGATTACTTTATTATTATAATTATAATGCTAATTAACAGGATTTTTGAATTAAAAATATAACCAAAAATTTTTAATTTTAAAGTTCTTTAACCAAAAAACATTAAAATTACTTTCAAAATATGACAATTGTAATTGCGAATTTCATTTCTTTACCAAAATTTTCATGAATTTTCTTAATCTAATCGATATTCTTTGAATATTTATTATTACGAATTTATGCATTTACTTCAAGAATCCTGAAGAGGGCATTGTCACGTATCGAAAATGAGGAGTAACTGTAATGCTAACAATTCTTTAATTTGAAAACGCAGGAACTCACGCCTTTCTGATCGTTTCTAGCTTAAAATGTGTTAACCTACTTATTGTTTACAAGCGTATATGTGTACATACATATACTTGATGTCTTTTAATAATTTACTTCGGAAAAAATACCGTTTTAATTACGGCTTCTACAGTTTCCATTAGTATAAGGTTTACTTTATAACATTGCTTGTATACTGACAAACTTCTTATATCGGAAGTCATGTATTATTAATCGATTGGTTGAAGAATGAAAAATTTACTTCACCTACCATTTCATCCTTCTCATTCACTGTTGTTCCGCTAAATACTTGATCCCCTTTCACGGATAAAAAGATCTAATTTCAATATTAAATCAATTAAATGTAGAAAAATGTCTTCACATTGTCCAATTCTCCTCCACCAAAATCATTCCGACAGCATAGGAATCACAGCTGAATATTGCTGTTGGAGATTTAAGCAATCAAAATCTTTATTTTATTTATTATAAAGCAAAATAAGCTCGTGTAAGTATCTCACAAAATTTAGTTAAATAAAGTAAAGCTTCCTTAATTCAAACAACTGAAGATACGCTATGTCACATACGCTATGTCACTAACAAGTCTTGTAGAAAGTGGGATGTCACTAACAAGTCTTGTAGGAAGTGGCATCCAAAATAATAGCGCAACATTTCTGTTCTGAGCCACAAAAAATACAACGAATTCCTTCAAAGTAATATTTCCTTTTTACCAAGTAAACAAAGTTAGCTAAAGATTACCAAAACAAAATTAAAATACAAAAGAGATCCTGAGAGAATAATGAAATATCACAATGCTGCATTATTCTTCATACATCGGAAATTATTCTTCATACATTAGGTCTTCATTATTACCTTTTAAATCTGTAATTTGAAATAAGAATTACAAATTCTATTACGATAATTTTTTTCTGTCCTTCAGTGGAAATCATTAATGAAAAAAAGATTAATATTCAGTTTATTATGGTTAATAAACTTTTAGTATTGAATGTAATGAAATGATTAATATTCAGGGTCAATCAAGATGTAAACTGCATTTATGGAAATACGATATGAAAAAACAGCCTTATCACAATTCACTAATCAGTAGTGAAAGCAAAAATGCGCAAAAAAAATTAACAAACCAAGAAGATGCATAATGTTTTGTACCGTCCAATCTTTATCCTGATCCTGAGAATACTTGTAATAAATTTGTTCTTCGATAGAACCGTAAACTACAAAGTGATGTACCATCATTTTCTTTTTTTGACCAATCCGATCAATTCGACCTATCGCCTATGAATTATTAACGAAGTTATAACTGATGCATAATATATAGAATTGAACTATATTAGTACCAACAAATATTTATTGTTAAGTAATCGGTTAAATGATGCGTAACCAAGACTATGAATTTTGCAACAAAATTATCAAACTTCAACTTCTTTAAGATTTCAAAATTTGAATTAACGTTTGACATCTTACTTGAGCAATTTGAGAAACATCCATCTGTGGCTCCACAAATATTATATTATTAGAGGCGGTAAGATTCAAGCCACGTGCACCGGAACTCATCGGCATAATAAGCAGCTGAAAGTAAATTTCTTATACCGATTGAAAAAATATAGCAGAAGTAAACAATGACATAAATTTCATGAAATAATCATGTATAGAAGAAAGAAGCCTTTAAAAATCATTTAAATACCAACATATATATATATATATGTTTCTGCACTCACTCAAAAAAAAAACAATAAAATATTGGATCCAATAAAAAACTACAAAAAGAAGAAAGAGAAAATATCTTGCTTCAATTTCAGGTTTCAATCGAAAATCAGCAAGAATTTTTTGTCGATTTGTTCCTAAGAAGTTCCGAAAGTTGATACTATTTTCGGATAATACACAACAAAGTGGATTGATAAGTACTGAAAGGGATGTAAACAGCAATGTTTTTGATGTTGGATCACGCAAACGAATTGATTTAATCCGTCGTATTATAGCATCAACCTAAAATTTTGAATCACTGATCATTTTGAGCTTGAATAGTAAGCCAGTATTGTTATAGAATGAATGTATATTAAAGATATGTATGTTTGCTGCAAATTTTGTATTTATTATTTAAATATGTATATTCGAGTAACATAATCAATAGTTCAAAAATAGGCCAAAAACTGGTGGGAAGGTCTGTGATGCTGATGCAAATTTGCTCAGTAACTTAAAGTTTACTTAAAGTGATAAAATCGACTATAGTTTTTGTCCCAATTATCAAATAGCTTTTTTTTTCGAAAATATTTCGAATATTCAAGCAATAGTGTCACTCAAAAAATGTAAATGCAAAGTACTATGAAACCCTATGGTGCATTCCAGCCCAATCCACAACTCAACTCCGTAAAATCCCGCAGGTTCGAAAAAAAAAGCAAAAGTTTGACCTTAACAGAAACACTCCTTTTTAATTGTACATTTGGTACATCCAGCAAATGGGTGTTTTTTTCTGATGCTTTATTTTGCACATATGAAATGTGACTTATGTAGGTTCTGGCTCGGCAGACAGCACATATGAGTACTGCATCATACCTGAAAATTGCATCATTTCTAAAAAATATAAACAAGGAAAAGCTTTCGAATAAGTAAAGTTTCGAATAAATATTAATGAGTTCCATTAACGCTGCACAATTATAACACCATATTATCAATGCAGAAGATATAACACCATATGATAGTACGATGGATGTGCAATAATAGAGCTCATCAAGTTATAGAAGTTATCTTATGTCTCCAATAAAATACTATAAATGCTACCTTCCTTTCTATAACGAAGCAGAACACACTGTATGGATGACTCATATAGTTAATAATATCATATAGTTCTCATATGGTGACTCATATCATATAGTTAATAACTGCATCAAAAATGGCATCTTCGTGTAATATTACCTAATAAAATTACTGAACTATTATTAAGAAAGAAATCAAAAAACGCAAATTACCTATAAGGTATGTCGATTAAATAAATTAACACTTTAAAGACAGAAAGAACGAAGGACTACTTAATGAATTGAATTTAAATCGTTAAAATTGATCACCGTTTAGTAAGCCGATTAAAACATGATACGCAGAGGTAATGAGCACAGGGATAGACAATCCACGTATCCCTTACGGTTGTTAAGCATATTGGACAATCATGTGTTTGCTGAGAACGTAAATTTGACAAATAACGCAATTTCGCTAAACAACGAGACTGCTTCAGTTTTTCCAATTCTAGTGCATTTAGATCGGTTTGACGCTAAAAATTACGATTTCATATGATGGGAATAAAGCAAAAATGGCGAAATTTATACAGTTCCTATAAGAACTTGCTGCTACTGTAAAAATTTTGAAATTTCATTTTTTATTATCACTGGTAAAAAACAAAAAAATTTACAAATATTTCAAAAAAAACCTTATTGCTTTCTGTTCCTCGAATAATTAAATTAATAGGCAAATGTGAGCGGTATTTTGCTATATCATCCGCTGTTGCATATTTTAAGCGAAGCTTACATTGGCGAATCTCGTCACTAAAAACAGTACAAATGTAAAGAAAAATAACTAATTGAGAATCAGATAAGGAAAAATGCTTCCATTAATTCTAGATCTTGTTTTATTAAACTGAAATAATGATAATCCCACTCTTTCTGCTTCTTCCACCGCAGTAATTCTGGATCCTAATAAACTCGACATAACAACTTGATTTTAGTATCCCCGGTTTTATCACTAAAACTGACAAATGAATAACCGCATCCAGAATATATTCTAATATACTCTATTATCAGTACGTTGCCCGGAAGCTTTTGAAATGCTACTAGTAAATCCTTATATAGAGATCTTTTCTTTGTTTTTCATCAGATAATGTATCTCTAAAACTTAAGGATTCAAAACTGAGATCCAAAAAATTGACAGAACATTTTAGCAGCGTATTCATTAGCAGAAGCGTAGAGTCGTTTTGAAAGAGTCAATAAAGTCTTGAACTCTTCCAACTGCGCAATTGTTTCCTTGCCTAATCCAATCAAATCACACTGCATTCCTTTTTGCATTCGGATTAGTGTTCCCAAGAAAATTCGAATAATTATCTCGAGGCTTGAAATTTTCTGCTCCCCGGCTGTCCCTATTTCATCCTCTTGATCATTGCTGCAATTTCAATTCCTTTTTTAGCCATTTTTGTTTCGAAAACTTTTCCATCTCTAATGACTCAGGGCACAAATTTCTTCCAGAATTTTTATAAAGTTCTAATCATGAACTTTAAACCTAATCCAAGATTTCCAGTCTCATCTTCTATCTTGATAAAGTAATACTGAAGCATTCTGACCATCAGTCATGGAAAATGTGCATGCTAGAGAAACAGAATAAAACAAAAATCAAATCTGCAGGAATATATGATATTTCATATGTTATTTCATAAAGAAGAATAAAACTTACGTTTTCGAACCTCTAATAAAAAGTAATGATTCCAATCGACTGATTTGTCTATTACATATGCACAGCGAACAACTGGAAGACAAAATAAGTGAAATAAACTTTATCAAGCAAACAACTTTACATTTCTATGTTTCTGATTTTATAACTAACCATAAGAATAGTTTCACAATCACATAAGGATAAGCGCACTTAAAATAGTTAATTCAAAGGAGAGGAATACACTTTAATAAAGAACTGATCTCTATCTTTCTGCAATACTCTAGTCTATCCTTTCTGATCTTATTGATGAGAAAAAGAAACAAACATCTTTTAATTAAATATTCTCCACAATATCCAAAAATAGAAACCTCTAAAACAAGTAAAAAGAATTGCAGATCAGATAAACCTCAATCATCACCATTATCCAATCCAGACCTATTGAAAATCGCAGATATTGTTATCAGTAATGATAACATGGAAGAAATCAAAACGTTGAATTGATAGACGGAAAATTTACTTCTTCAATGATTTGCCATTATTTGGTGAAAAATGGCATGCAATGATAGCTTCCAGGATGACAACCCATCTGTCGTCCATAATATTGTTCTTCGTAATTTTTTTCGTTTCCGAAAGAACCTCCTTAGCACACTCAATCAGTTTATCCCATCGTCTTACCACATACAAGTTTAAACCCGACAAATTTGATGCCCTGTAAATTCTGCTACAACTCGTCATCAGCACATTAAACAGATTTTCATATTTTGAAAATGTTATAACTGAATGAAAAAGATTAAGCAGATCAAACAAATTTAAAAGAAAATAAATCATACGGAACACTCTGAATCCCGTTATTCTCAAGAGCTGTTCGAATAGCATCAATGAAAAGATGTTGCTGTTCAGCACTGTTCACCAAATTGATGGCTTCACATAACCATCCAATACTCGATTTTACCTTAACCAAATTGTTTAAAGCAATAAAGCATTGATGTTAAGGATAAAAAATCACATAAAATAAATACACAACATGATCCATTCAACATTGTGACTTTTGGGACTTCATCGATCAATTTATTATACGAATATGAAAGAAAGATAACGAATATGAAAGAAGGAAAAAAGAGATCATTATTATTACCAGCGCTGTGCGCCTCTTATATGAAAGAAGGAGAAAAGAGATCATTATTATTACCAGCGCTGTGCGCCTCTTCTGTGGTTTACTAAATGTTCCCGATAGAATTGTCTATATAACATACTAATATACTGTTTCGAATATTCATAATATATTAATTACTGAAAAAAGATAAAATTTTTCGCTAGATGAAAGAAAATTACCTTCGATAAAGTAGTTTGATATTTTAAGAAAGACTCGTTAACAGCAACATATGATTGTGTCAAATTTGATACCGTTTGTTCAATATAACCCGTAGAAGCCAAATTCAACTATAAAATGTGATGGAATTGAAGGCATATTTCTTTTATTGCTCTTCTTCTAGTATAAAAATTCATCAAATATATTAAGTTTGAATTATAAATAAACCTGAGCTTCAGCTTCTTTCTGATTAATACCTCGTACTTCAACACCACTCTTTTGCAAGTCCAAAATGGCAGAAAATATGTGGATTTGTTGTAACTTGTCCGACCTCAGCTGCCTATAAAGTTTATTACCATGAAGAAATGATAACAAATAATGAAGACCTAATAATGCTTATAATAACCTGTAAGCGCATCTTGATCCTTTTAATCCGAGTTTGTTGTTCATTTGATCTAGTTCCTTCATTGCACTAATCGCACTACTGTAATATTTCGCAGCATTAGTCTCGTTTTCACAAAGCCATTCTAATCCAGCCAAACCTTTAAAAAGAATGAAGGCGACAATAAATTAAATACAATTTATATACACTACAAAGGCGACAGCAAAGATTTGAAAAAGTGAAACTTCAAAACTTCAAATTTTTAGAAACTTCCACTAGAAATGCTTACCACAATAATACATTAATATATTCCGTTGATGAACTTCAGCTTGCTGTGTTGAAATTCGGAACAGTTCCTCTTGCAAACTCTCTTCCGTATTAACATTAGTCTTTGACTGTAATGAAACATAGCGAATTTTGGTGGGTAGCGAATTTTTAGGAAAAATATAAATTTCATTTACTAATTAAATGAATGGAAAATCGAAAGTTTCATTAAATTAACCTCTTGAAAACGAAGACTAGGGAAAACAATAAATTTGCGTAATGCTTGCAAAGGTTCCATTAATTTTTCAAAGTCTTTCCCATGAAGTGACGAAATTGAGGTACTCACATCATACGAAAAAGGAGTGTAACGAACTGAAATTTAATAAAGATAACTTTGATGTAACTCATAAATAAAGCAGGCAAATGTAATATCCATTGCTCACGATGACAGATACAGAATGCAAAATATTCAATTAAATTCAAAATTCGTGAAATTTAAAAATTAAATGTTTTCATAATCTTTAGTCACAAGAGGAAAAACAATCAAACCTTTCAAGCGACAAGTCGATAAAGTTTCACGATAAAATTGTTCTTCAATAGGTGTAAATCGCAAAACAGTTAAATTACTACTTTTTGATGGTAAAAGCATCTAAAATATATTAAAATTGTTATTCAAAGTAACTCTTATAGTTTTTCAACTCAAATTATGAATAAAAGTGATAAAATAGGAAGTTTTCATCCCAGTACCTGATCACTAACAGTTTTTTTCGTATTTCTCCACATTATTTTAGAAAACAAATCGGAAATTGGTTTTTCAATACCAATTTGATACAAATTCAACAACGCATTACGCCACCAACATTCATTCCAGAACGGCTCTATCCTCAAAAATCGCACAAGACCATACAAATCTGCAAATAATCTTTTAATTATTACTCAATATCAACTTCAAAAAAAACACAATAAAATTTTTAACCAGAAAAAAGAGTTAATTAAAATGAGGCATACCTTGCACTGAGTTGGTGATTGGTGTACCTGTTACACACCAACGATTTACTGCTTTAAGACCGTCGCACATCGACGCTACCGAACTTGATGTACTTTCTACCGTTTGTGCCTCATCAATGCAAATCTGAATAATAATGCATAAATGGTTTAGCCACTATAACTGATCAAACTGTTAGGCACATATAATAGAAGTTAACAAAGGAAGAAAAAAAAATGGTGACTTTACATTAATCCTACCATTACAATCTTATTTTTATGAACCAAAGAGAACAATAATAAACATTTTTCATTATTTCAGATGATAGATATGAAACATTTAAAGCATACAAAAAAGAGGAAGTTCATAGATAATTAAAAACATTTCACATAATTATCATAATAAATATAAGATGTAACTTACACGCCACCATTCCACAGCTAACAGCGGAGTAGGAGCAATGTGATGTCTTTTGCCACGCCGTAAAGAATCTGGAAAATAAACGATGCGTCAAAATACCCATGTCAAAAGGTAATGATAAAGATCTGAAGTTTGCAAAATTAATTATAAAATCTTCTTTGGACAAGCATGATGGATAAATACATTAAGTCGGTAATGCGTAAGGTTATCCAATCACGAAATATGATTTAAATTCTTACTTACAACATAACTTATAATGATAACAAGACTGATTACGGCACTGACTAGCTCAATTATTAAGGACAAGTGATTAAGCTCACTTCTATCATATTTATGTATAATCAATCCTTCTATGTTACATAACAACGACACAAAGAAGATGACAACGACAAAGAATTTTCAAATTAATGCATTTGAAATTTTCAATTATTTTTCCGCATAATTTATTCCCTAGATCAATTAAATAAATATTCACGAATGTAAACAAATAAAACTTTTTTAAAACATTTTAAAAAGTTCTATTCGTAACGAGAATTGAGCGGAAAAATGAAAAACAACTAACCGAGTCTTGGCCGAGCTTCTACAAAATATACTTCCTGTCGGAGTGTCTCAAAAGAGCAGATAACAACATCCTGAGTTGCCAGATATTCTGGATGTTTATAACCGTCATTAACCAGTCCCCGGTACATCTGAAACATTGATTTATGGAATAAAACATATTCGCAAGTGACACATGAAAGTAATGGATCAAAACTACTTCCTCGTCAAAACTGCAAAAAAAGTGCAGAAGAAAATAACTTCAATCGAATTTGTCTACTCTTCACTCATTCTTTTCTTCTTTCAAACTTTCACAGTCATTAATCACGTAATAATCTTTAGTAGAACTGGAATAGGAAAGAAGAAATAAAAGACCAGGAAAGATATACATCAATTTTAATATCGTCGCGGATATGTCGCTTCAATTCTTCATACCATTGATGACAGATTGTAGATGGTGCAATGATAAGCGTACTTTTAACTGGATACACACTTTCCTATAACCATCAAAGCATATGTGATGAGACTGATTTTCAGACTATGACTAAATTTTTTTTACATTTCGGTTCCTTTTGACATATTCAATTTTTTGTTGATAAAAAAGTGTGAAGCAATACAAACTGTATTTAATATATACATGTGGAATACTTAAAATATCACATACCTTATTATGAATACATTCCGGACATAAAAATGGAATATCATGCGAACAAAATCTATCCCAGTAAACTCGCTCCTGAGAACAAATTGTAGAACATTCAGTGCAAGCTATAGTCAGTGGCTTCAGTACGCTATTTTCGCCTTTACATCTCTTCGGATTATTGAATTCCAAATTGTCATAACAAAACATTCGACGATATCTCGAATTTATCTGCCAAGTAATAGGAAGTAATAACTACAGAATTCAGAATTTATGTAACTTGACAATTGGTATTCTATTTTAGTTCTTTAAATTACTGTCTGAAAAAATTTTGAAGCTTCGTGTAACAAGATAATGAATTTACGAAACAAGAAAGTCATATTCTAATTGACTATAGTTAAAGTTACATTTTTCTTTATAGAAGTTAAAATATTGAGCAAATATACAAACATGAGCATATAACGTATGTTAGGAACTATAGTATTGGATATATATAATCCAACATTACCGTTCTCCTAAAAATACTTACTTTATCCTGCAATGCCAAATATCCATCAGTTGCAGCTACCACTGTAGAGATAAGTTCACCGACAATCATTTTTACCGTATCAATTTCTCTCGCCATATCTTTAACAATCGGTGGAAGTCCTTTATCTCGTTGATGGCTTAATATCAGACCAATAACCTCCAGCGTCTTCCCGAGCCCCATCTCATCAGCCAATATACCACATGAAACAGCACCATCATAATCATATTAGAAACAAAATTTAGAAAATAAAATCGCATACAATCATATTTATTATCTAGAGCAGATGCATTGCATGCTGATTCACTACATATGCTAATAAATGAATAAATGAATTACAATCAATTTCTTTTTGCAGTGTATCAACTCTATACATGATTTTTCCTATGCACCATTATTTTGAAATAAAAATCTTTTGATACAGACTTTAAGTAGAATGGATTTTATGTATATGACACTTGTAGAAGTCGAAATTTGAGAAATATTAATAGTCCATTTAAATATAAAAGTTATCAGAGTAAAACCTAAGATCAAAAATCCAAGTAAGCATTACACTAGGATGGAAATATTGGTGTAGAAGTTCAGCTTGTAACTAAAAAATAAAGCATGTTTACTTTGCTAATATAGCTTCGATCTGTTTCTTCAAGTAAATATCCAAAGATACCTGGAGGACATTTACCGAATGAAGGTTTACGTAGCTGTCGTGACATAAAACCAGTAATTGGTGAATACAGAATTCGTGGTGTAGTTGGTAGTTCAACAAAATCATCTTCTATCACAAATACGGTCTGTTGATTAGGGTCTTCACGTGAAATCATAAAGCGTATTGCATCTTCCTGGAGTGACTGGACGAACATAAGCTTTCTTTTCAGCTGTTTAAATTGTGGTTTAGAAAAAGCATTTTTTGACATTTCTTTTTAAAAATTTTTTGCTAAACCACACCCGAAAACATAGCACATTTCTATAGTAGCAATTCATCTGTTGGCAAGTGCAAATAGCTACAAGATTTTTAACTAACCTAAACAAAGCAAATTCGCAACATCATCATTGGATAAAAAAATCCTTGTACTTTAATTCAAAAATAATTTAAAGAAGTGAAACAAACTTGATAAGGTCGTAGTACTGCAACAATATTTTCAGTAGAAATCTTCCAATTTCTTACAGGTTCGCGCTGCACGCTTTCGAAGAATCCGTCAGCATTCTCTTTAACTTTTATTGCAAGCGCTGTTGGAGAAATAGGAGCTCGTACCTAAAGTTTTCGTTATTGAAACTTTCCGTCTTAAAATAGAGAAGTATTGCATATAAGCCAGAATTTTAGCAATTTCACTTTCTTCCATTACTGCTATATCCCTTCTCAATGGCACGGCGATTATAAGCAAACTTCGGTTATCTGATAAAAGTTAACAAAGTCAGCTTTCTGTTTACTATCTATTACTTCTACCAACATGAATTTACCTCACTTTTTAAGACTTTCGAAAAACTTCGAAAGTCTTAACAAAGATTTTATGAATTTACAAAAAATGGAGTGATCAAAAAAAGCTTACCAAGCGAGGAAAAAACATCGCGATAATAGCTTTGATATCGACTGAATCATTCACATTATAAATATTACTTTCGTGGCTAACCACACTATCTTTTATAAAAAGACTGAATTTCAATGCACCTTCATCGCTGATCATGGCTACTATTTCGAATGTTCGTGTCCATCTGCAATATAACTAATCTCTTACCAAAATATATATTTTATTATGTAATCCTTAAAAAAATTGTAATCCTTAAAAAAAATAGATATACTTAGATTCCATAGTTTCACTGGTGTAATAAGCATATCCTCTTTGATATGATTTATTTGTATATCATTGAGATTGTGTTAAAATATAAAAAATCTATCACTTCAGTGAAAAAACATTATGAAATCGTGAAAAATATCCAAATCAATATTTTCATTTTTAAATTAATCGAAAAAATAGTTGAGTTATCGATTGGACAATGTCATAGAAAATTCGATTTTAATTAAGAAATATTACAGGATTTCAATATGCTACAATACTTAACAGACTGTCAACCACAGGAAAGAATGGTTGTACATTGGTCCATTAATTCGATGCAGAAAAGTAACAAGCTTTTTAATAAAGCTAACAAGTTTTTAATAAGTTAATAAAGAAGTGGTTTTTGATCAACGCATCGTCTACGTTTCATATATCTGAAACCATTCATGTTGAAGAAATTACTTTTGTTTATTGAAAATGATTTTACTACAAAAGTTCAGATCTTTATAACTCATGTCCCATTCTCTCTTTTCTCATCTATAGTCATCATCATGATTCTTAGCTTTCTCACAACAAGCTTCATGATAACTTTCCAGTAATTTCAACTATGATTTGTCCTAACCGCGATCAATGATTTGAAAACGCGTAAAACTTTTGTGAATCGACGTAATCTCAAAATATCATAGGTAACCATTAATCAAACAAATTAAACTAAAAATTACTTTTTTGAAAATTGAAATCTCGAAATTAATGTAACTCACTTTAAATTCGATAACTTGTATAAGAGCCAATTTTTCTTTTCACTTAATCTCCCCGTCGTATGCTGCCAAAATGAACAGGCAACCCACAGCTTCAGACGCTTTTCTTTGGGAGTAAGCCATCTACCAAACTGCAATGAATACTCTCAAGGAAGAGAGATGAAAAAACATTCGAAAGGAAAACCCATCTGAAAATAATCGAACGGCTGAATATGCTAATAACATTTGTCTCATTCCAATTTAATTTTCCTACTACATTTTAATTTTTTTTGTCCTTATAACAAGCTTACTTTAAATTATGTTTAACCTCAAAAAAAACAGCAAAATTTTTAAATCAAGTGGTCATTTAATTAAAATTAAATATTTTGAAAAAAAATACTTTAAAAAGACCACACGCTCTACAAAACACTACGCTTCGACGTCGACTGCCACATAATTGACGAACAGCTCCAATATTATCAATATCCTTGCTATCTACTTCCGTTGAACCCAGAAAGCAAAAAACAGTATTTTGGGCATCCGCACTTAAGCAATCGAATGCTATCTGTAAGTAACACTTCAGAATTTCGAATTGAAACTAACAAGAAAATAAAAATTGAATTTTGAAAGTTTCCTAAAAACAGATACCCCAAGGAGTTTTTTTTTGAAACTATAGCCTTTGCGTAATATTGAACCAAAAGAACTTTTAATACATAACAATTAGATATTTTAAAACAAAGTCGGGAATTTTAATTTTTCTCTCCTAAAACTTACATTTTCATCATGTGATGTGCATTGAATATCGTCGGATGCCTTCCTAGCACGCCGACTCATACGATAAAAGACAACAATATCTGGAACACCTGTAATAAACACTTGATTATCAATTTCAGCTTACTTTATTGACTAATTCAGACATCAAAGCCGATTTTCGAACGAAAAAAGAAAAATCACGCCAAATTACTAGAACTATTTCTCTTTTATAATGAATAACGATGAGTAAATTTTCATAAAGTGTTGTAAACCATGAATTCGGTCAAGAAATTTAAAATTATATAATAAAGCATATCAGTTTATGAATAACAAAACACATTAAAGGCATATTTGTAATCTTGTAAAAGTCACATGAAAATTTAAGGCAAGATTCAGACATTTTAAGATGCAATCGAAGTTTAATAATCCATCAACATATTTCAAGTTAAATTCTACTAACTGTTTTGCAATAATCATCTCTTTCTGGCAATAAATGACATTTATCATAAATATTTTATCCAAATATATTAATTACGCAACAATCTTCATTTCATAATCCTTTCGCGCTGCAAATTTATCAAGCCTAAAATTTCCGTAACCATAATCACTCAAAAATCAGAAGAGTATTTGAAAATTTAGATTAAAATATCAAAATACTCAGATAAAAATCCCTAAAACAACAAAAACTTAATATGACGAAAATGTTCAAACCAAACAATCTAGCAAAATTTGAGTAATAGAATTATTATTTCACATTAACAAAGTATTTCTAAGCATTATAACCATTTAACATGAAAAGTTTTCTAAAACAAAAACCAAAAAATCTCAAAATTTAAGTAAAAGTACAACACAATTAAAAGAGAAAACTTGAAAACTTTTAACAGAAAATTCAAATTCAAACAGAAATCATCTGAAAAATTCAAATCACAGTAGTACTACCGAGAGTAAGTACCGATTGATCAACTCGTCTTAACCAGGTACTATTTCCATGAGCAGCAATATCGACTACATTTTCATCAATGTCCAACGGTACAGGTATATCCAAAATTTCGCCAATTTCACAGCAATTACCCAGCTGTCCGCATTTATTCCATCCCCAAAGGTATACATCACCATGATCGGTCAATGCAATACTATGCCATGCACCGCATGCCACTTGAACCACTACTAAAGATGTTAAACTTTCCACTAACTTTGGCTGCTGCTCACATTCCACCGTACCATGGCCAAGCTCACCTCGACTTCCTGTACCCATACTATAAACTGTGCCATTTACAGTTAAAATCAATATATGATCATTACCAGCAGAAAGTTCTCGGATACACTCAGCAGAACCAAATTGTAATAGTTGAAAATCATTAATCTTGTTATCAGTGAAAATTCGATACAATGATGATTCATTGTTAGCCGTATTTCTTGCCAGAAAACATGAACGATTTGTGGCACAAATGAGGAAATCTTCGATTTTACTGAAATTTGATTTCATTCCCTTTCTAGTTTGTTGCAATTCGCAATGAGCCAATTCTGGTATTTGGCCATTATTACAATTCACACTTCCACGCATTCGCTCTATTTCCACGAAGACATCTATGAGATGTTCAAATTTAAGATTTTCCGAAATAGCATCCAAATTGAGGGAGTAAACGGAAAATGAATCTATCCGAAGGATGTAAAGAAGATGATTCGATGGTGCTAAGCCAAAAATGTAATTATGGGTATGAGATATGTCCTTGATTGTACCATCTATCTGGAATTGAGTTATCCTTTGAAGAAGATAATTTCGCATAATAATTCGCGATTTCGTAACATCTCGTCGGATTTCTATTGTACCAAAGTATGCAACAAATATTTCACATTCTTCATCATCCATCATATCTTTTTTTCGTTCTAAATATTTCAAATTTTATTACAAAAGAATTACTTTCACAAGCATAAATTCCTAATTATTCCTGTTATCTGTTGTTAATATTTTCAAAAATCAAGCATAAAAGTTTGAAGATTTTTTTTTTGTTATTTCATTTAGTGACTTTCTTATCTATTTGATATGTAAGTATACTTGTTACTTACATATTTTTGTCTCATAATTTGATTATATAGTAACAGTACTTAATAAATTATTCCCACTTTCTTGATTACTTAATTATAACTAGCTGAAGGTATTTTTAGTAGCACTAATTATTACTAACTGCTTATTTCATGAATTTCGATTAAAAAAAACAATTTTAAATAAAAAAATCATAAACTCAACTAAACTATGAAATAACTTATTCACAGTCATCACTCATCAAAAGTACTAAATTACAATTCTTCAATCCTGTTGGCTGTTCCGGTAAAAGTGTGCTCGATTCTTAAGGATTGATTACTTGAACGTATGAACGAATGGTTGTGATTGAATTTAAATTGAGTTGTATTATCATAAGTCATATCGACTGATTACGAGACGATATTTTTTATCGATGCTTATTGTAAATATTAGATTTATTCGATTTTTTATGAATTCCAGTTTGGTTATGAATTCAACGATGCATTATAAATGCCGAAATATAGGTTTCTTTTTCTTGAAATATTTCCTTTTTATTAATTCTTAATATCAGTATCAATTTCTACCTGTCGTTAATTATTACTTTCAGTTTTATGAATGCTGCATTATTATTTATTTATCGGATATAGGCGTCTGATTTCCATTCAGCAGAGCATTTGTCAGATGTTACTTTTTTTGTACATCCTGCAATAGATGAGTAAAATTAAAATGAAAAATTCAAATGTTTACAAAGTGATCATAGAAGTTACTGTTGTCTTACATAATAGTTATACTAACTTATTTATCTATTTGTACTTCACTTGCGTTAAACCAACATATAAATTCACTAACAAATAGCTAAATACATAAATGTATAAGAATTGTAACGATGGCATGCACCTTAAACAAAATTATATATAATTTCATGGCTGTTTGATAATTTTTAGTTTTGTTCCAGAAAAGCCGTATCTGCGTAGTGATATCTATCGTGTAGAAGTACCAGATGATAAAGTCAAATGGGAAGTTCTCTGGCCAGAATATGCACCAAAAGACTTCACTAGCTTAGTAGCTACTAATAAACCCTGGGCAGATTCAAATGATTTCAAAAGTCAGAAATTCAAGTGGAACGATATCGATGGATTAATCAACCGACGTTCCTATATGGGGTAAATTATTTATTCAACTACATTTATAGGCATGTCAATCGCATATCCCTCTTTTGCGGTTATTCTTATCATCGTTTTAGAGAATTATTAAGAGTTAGGCAGTATTGAAGTACGATGAGGTGTGTGTTCGGAAGCTTAAAACGAAACAAATGATTTTGTTAAATATTAATGAAGAATCCAAACAGAAAAGAATGTTTGTGATATTTAACTATGAATACTTAAGAAAAACGAGGAGCCAGGCTAGTTAATGTTTTTTCACTAAAATTTAGGAAATATAATTTGGATAAAACTGGGCGACCACTTAATCCAGCAGGACGAACTGGATTACGAGGACGTGGAGTTCTGGGTAAATGGGGACCAAATCACGCAGCAGATCCAATCGTAAGTCGAATTCATCACGGGCAGTTGCAATTTATTGGGATTGCCCGACGAGATTCCGGTGAATGGGCTATTCCTGGAGGTATGGTGGATAGTGGTGAGGATGTACAGGAAACTCTGAAAAGGTGGGAAGTCTTAATTTTATGGCATGAACTTTCAGAGTAAAGAAATCCCTGACACTTTAGGGAATTTACGGAAGAGGTACTGGGCGGCAAAAACTATCCAGAATTGGATATGCTTTGGCGTAAAGGTGTAGAATTGTATCGTGGTTATGTCGATGACCCACGAAATACGGATAATTCATGGATGGAAACAGTTGTAGTTAATTTTCATGATAACGATGGCTATCTAAATAATGTCACATTTAAGGTAAGGTGCTTGAATTATTAATTTTATAATATGGGAAATAGTATCAGAGAAAATGGTTTCGGATTTTTATCGTGGCCAGCTTCAGATGTTTTAATTCAATTTTGATTAGATTTGAAATTATTTCGCTCAAATAACGTAAATTTTCAGGCAGGAGATGATGCAACTAAATTGCGATGGATTACTGTTTCAGTAGGTGAAAAATTGTACGCATCTCATGAAGACTTTATCAGACTACTTGCTCAGCATCATGGCATATAAACTAGATTATAAACTAGATCTTTTATCATTCTAATAATGTTTATAAAGTGTACAATAATAAACCTATTTTTAAGCTGATGAAGCATAATAAAATTATTCGATATCGTTGCTTTATTTTTCTTGCATCATTTCATCATATATACAATGAAATCTATATTTCGATATCATTAAATAATGAGTTTCCATATTTTGTATTATATTTAACAGTTCCTCTCATATTATTAACTTACTTTGTAGCATATGAGAATTATAGGATAGGAAGTTGACTGGATTCATTGTTAACGGTTATGAAAGATTAAAAAAAAATTTATGTTAGCAAAAATTATGAATTTGGTATCATTTAGAAAATACCTGATGAAAAATATGAAATACAAGCATCGTTTCCGCCAGTCGGGAGATAAAATAGTATTAACATATTGGTAGTAGTATTGAACTTGATGAACCAGCGATTTTCATTGGTTCCGATCAGAGTTGCACCAGCTGCTGTCTGTGATACATCGATATACAATTACAATTGATTATGTCTGGTTTGGTGTTGTAGCGTTAGTTCGAGAGTGTATGTGAGGTTATGTGGGAGGTACTGCGCATTTTTCTTGTGGGATTATTATTATTATTATGTAATTTAGGTTAAAAAAAGAAGCAAATCTGACGAAATATAATTTGTTAAAATTTTGCTTGAAAGTTTGAATAGACATCAAACACTGTCAAGGATGAGTAGACGACCCGGACCACCGTCGATCGATGGCCTTTATTCTCTAAAGGTACCCTTTAATTTATTATTTATTTGATGGAGAAAGATAAGTAGCTAATAATAGGTAAAGTGCATTGATAAAATGCAGTGATTTTTTTTTCTTTGATCTGTAATATTGCGATTGTTTTTGATCCAGTTATTGCCATCTTGCTACGATATTAAATTTAACTTTGGAAATCTTATACTAATTTTTGCTAGATTTTTAAATTGGATTTCCATGATTGACTTGTTGATCTTTGTCAAATTTCAGTTATATATATATATATATTCTGGTTACATGTTTACGATGCTTTCCGTTTCATCATATTTAATATTAGTTATGTGAACTGAAATCTGTAGTTAAGTGCATAATTCTGTGATTTTTCAAAATTTGATGTATATTGTGCACCATATTACAGATTGATAATATATCATATCAGACGGCACCACAAGATTTACGTCGTTTATTCGAGAAGTATGGTGAAATAGGTGACATCCACATTCCGCGCGATCGTTATACCAAACAAAGTAAAGGATTTGGTTTCGTACGCTTTTATAGTCGACGAGATGCCGAATACGCGATGGATCGTATGGATGGACGGTGGGTCGATGGTCGTGAGATCCGTGTTGCCATGGCACGTTATGAACGTCCGATCGATGAACGTAGTCGTAATGGTGGTAGTAGTTACAGAAGCAGTCGACGGTTGGTGAATTTAAGCTTTAAGATATAAAATACTTGAAATTTAACAATCACCAGTAAGGATAAACGTCGTTGTTAAGTTACACTAATAAGTAATTAGATATTTAGCACACTTAACTTCTCTAATCTGGAATTTAGGTAACACTTGTGATTTTTGATAAAATCATCAAGGCGGATGACCGTTGTTAGTGCATCATCCCTTATAAAGTTAGTTTTTATTTTTTACAAAGTAACTTGTCGAAAAGTAATAAATTTGTAATTTTTGAGGCGGCCGTGGTTTGCTGCTGCTGCTGTTGCTGCTGCTGCTAATCACCGAGATACAGTGTAGCTGCTGCTAGCTGAAATAAAAAATGCATCAAGCAAAACGGCCACATCTCAGGGGAAATTGGCTGGCTGAGTTGCTGTTCCATGTAGCAGTTTGACTGCTGCTGTTGTTGTTGTTGTTCTTGTTCTTGTCGTTGTTGTTATTGGGCAGCATAGCTGTTCGGCTTGGCCGGAACTAAAAAAGGGAGAATGAGAGAGAGACACCGGTTACAGAGCAAAGATTAATTACATGCTGATTGCTGATTCTTTGTTACATTTGATGGTCAGTCAGTTTTTCGTACAAAATCGTTTTGTACCTTTCCCGATATGATGCCGAACTCCTGTGTGGTAACATTCTGAATCGACAGTTTACCACATAATACCTAACTATCCCGGGATTGCAGTTTTTTTTTGGTCTTAGTCATTTTAATGATTGGAAACTATCCGAGTTTTAGAACACACTTTGTTTATCGTAAAAGGATGGATGGAAAATAGTTTTACTAGTTTCAGTAGTTTCGTAGAATTTCTTGAGATTGAGATACTTTTTATCGTCCTAGTAGTAATCAAATTCAGCAGTCAAATTTAAGAAAAAATAAATTAAAACTTATTCCTTATTAAATTGAAATAAAGGGAAGCTGGACAGTACGATATGGATTGGTTCTCAAAAACGTAATCATCGTCGAGAAACAAATTTACTGGAAAAAATTGACATGATGAACTAATGATAACTTGTTTCATAGTTTAATACTGTTTCATACTACGCGAGCTGATTTCATTCAAAAAAATAATATTTTGTGCACATTATCAATGAGATTAGTTCACTCTGCGATTATTCATACTTATTAGTGACAGTGAGTAACATTTTTCAGTTCTCGATCACGATCACGTTCACGCTCACCACGACGTCGACGCTCCTCAACACGAAGTCGTAGTGGTTCACGATACAATGAAAGACGATCGACTTCACGTGGTCGAAGCGCTTCACAAGACAGGTCACCAATGTCTCGAAGGTCTGTGAACTCAAGCAGTCCATCACACAGAAATGTTTCTCCAAGTCCACCACCTCGTGATTCTCGCAGTCCTGTGACACGTGATCGAGATAGACTTGATGATGCATCAAATGGAAATGATGCTAATTATTGATGCGTTAATGTCTTGGCTTCTAGCAAAATTTTAATGGAGATTTTTTTTATCACATTTTGTTTCAACATGTTTTATTTTCCTTTATTTTTAAGAACCAAATATTTCTACAGAAATGTTACTCACAACGGATATTGCATTGCTTAAGTTGGTATTAAAAGTATAACTGTTAAGCCATTTCATAAATCAAGGAAGTTTTGGTTCTATGAGATGGTATTAGGAAATGCAGCTACTAAACCACTGAAAGATATCAGATCGAAGAAAACGAAGTTTTTGTTCAAAATTCGTTTAAATATGTTATTGATTTGTTATTTCAAAATTTCCATCTTTCATGTTTGATGTGGTTCTTTATTCTGTTCACATCTTTCTATGGTTAATCAGTGAGTATCGTTTAAATCTTTTAATGATGTATAAAAATTTTAAGTTAAGAAGAAGTGGAAATCAGCATACGAAAAGGTGTGTTTTATTGAAGGGTATTATTTTTCCTCGTGCCGAATTTATGTTTTAATGTGATACATGTCATCCAGAGGCCAGAAATGGAGACAGATTCTGCAGCTCTGTTAAATTGAAAGAAAAGAGTGATCAAGTTGTAGTTGTGAGTTAAAAGATACAAATTTTTTCGAATTACAATTGATTTCCTGTACAGTTGGCTTGTGTCAATACTATGTTAATTATTCTGTAACTGTAATGTGAATTGATAACGGAAATTAAGATGAGATCTGGAAAACCGACGAACAAAACCTCTCTCACGCACACAAGCGATCGATCATTTGCACAATATTAAGATTTATTGAACTTTTTTCTGTTAAATCTATTTGTCAATTATGTTGTTAATGTTTGCTTCCATTTAAAAATGAAGTTTTTTATTTATATTATCGAGAAAAGCATCTGCTTTAAGTGAAAAAGTTTAACAAATTAAACGATCGAGAAATAATTCTATAGTCTAATCCATAAATGAAATATTGTCTTAGTATAAAGATTACGGTAAAAGGACAACAATCCAAAAACGAAAAGCTTGTAAAAATTTTTAATTATGGCTTATACGTTATATACCATGAGAGGAAAAAAAAATGAATTATCATATGAATACATCTAGAAGTTGTAGATCATTATCAGATTCGGAATCGATCGTTCCATATAATGCCTAAAAAATGCTAACAATATTATAAATGGTAAAAATAATGAATCTAAGAAGCTGGAAATTCAAATTCATTTTCTCAACATCATGCCTATAAGTTTTTATTTGAGAAAACAAATTATCAAAGTTTTTTTTTTTTTCATTTCATTCCTTCCTTAATTTAAGACAATGACCTGTAAAATAGGTCAACTGAGAGTTGAAATTTTGAATTTGATATTTGTTGGAGTTTTAACATTATTTTAGCAATAAAGTATATAATTCTATGTAAAAATAAATGATTGGAATGTATTTTTTTTTTCTTGCAAATCAAAATATTTCTAACCAATTCAGCTGGTTTAATCATTTCACATGGCCGGCATATATTACGCGAAAATAATCGATCAATCGTACATTGACAATTGAAGCAATAATTTTCTCGTTTGGGAATTATTTTAGATGCTGCTATCATGGATCCATATTTCTAAAATATTTCAAAATTATACACAAAAAAATAATTGTTAAAAATTTACCTTTCAAAATAAATGTATGCTAGAGATAATCAAATGATAGCAAAAAAAAAAAAAAA